TACGTGTTTATTTTTAAAATAAGTACCATATTAAATCAAAGTACAGCATTACTTTTTGACGTGACAACGTCTTAAATTAGGTTGCGGCTGGGAGTCACTTATGAAAAAGTGTAACGCTCGGTAACGTTACGATGAGTCTCTCGTGTTAAGTTTAAGTTTACATGTACAATGTTTTAGTAAACAAAATATATTTCTATAGTTAAAATTTGTGCAATTCTTATTTTCATTCAATTCCTTGTTCCTATTGTGCAATTTAATTATATTCATATCAATAAATATTCTACCGAGAAAAAGACGTTGTCACGTAAAATCTTCGCCCGTAAAACCGACTTTACAGGCAACCATTTTTTATTATTATTAAAGTTAAGATGACTAAAAATAATTATAGTTCAAAGTAGTAGTTTATCATTTAGATTTTTCTTAATTGAACTCTGAAATTGTAAAACCTAAATTGATATTGCGATTTTTACTAATTAAGTCACTTGTTTAAAAAGTGTTAATTAGTTTGAGTAGTCAGGCCTTGTAGATTTAAGGCGTGTAGAGTTAGAAGCTTGGCTCTACATGAGGAAAGGAAAATGGGAACAAAGATGGTGGGGACAAAGGTTAAAGTAATACATGAAAACAATACAGAGACAATTATATGGAGAAATACACTAGAACTTACTCATATTTGGTTTTCGTCGGCATTTTAAAAAAATATATGCATTTCACTGTTAACAATTATAAATTCCGAAAAATGGTTATAAAAATAATTTTGACAGAGTTGATGAAATTGAAATTGTAATTAAATAAATACCATTAAAGAAAACTTTGAAATTAGCGATGGGCAAAAAAGTTGAATAATTATGAAGGTACTAAATATGGAGAACGGTTGCGCCTATGCTACACCGCTACGAACTATACCATCTATCGGGTTGCAATTCTACAGCGACGGATCCTGTGCTTCTTCTCCCACACCTATGCGACGAAGCTTTGGGTGGCATTTGTACTTAAGCCTCGACGATATGGGGCGAGTTATAAGCTACAAGCCAGCGAGTTCGCTAGCAGCTTGTAAACTCGCCCCATGTCATTCGTAATTTTGATTAGTTCTATCTTAAGCCTCGATGATACGGGGTTAGTTTGAACTCACTGGCTCGTAGCTTGTAAACTAGCCCGTTTCATGGGGATGGAACTAATTCGAACTTTAATTTTGGCGCATTTTATTACCAAAGCTTCGTCACGCAGGTGTGGGAAAAGCATGAGAAAAACAGAGAAACCTCAGCAAAGGTGTTTTTCTTTTTCTCTGTGTTATTCCATACAGTGTCGTAAATATGACATCGAAACTACACCATGTTCTAATGACAACTTCCATCATTCAAAGTAAAGTAGGCAATAGCAAGCGTTCTGTCGTCGCAAACGACCATAGGGCATAATGGGTTATCATCACGATTGTCATACAGAATGAAACTCTTCTAACAATAAGAATATGATATTTGTTTTCAACAAATTGATTAGTTTATTATGAAATGATGTCTGACCAGATAAAATAATCATGTGAATGGGGCAATATTTAATTGAAGGCAATGGGTGAACCAGCCTACTTTATTTCAACCATATCTACATTACACTTACACTGCAATTTTCATTTGAAAATTTCAACATGTTTCTCAATGTAAAATAGAAATGATAGGAGGCAAAAAGGACAAAATTCTGAAACTGTTTTTTCGGTTTACAAATGTAACAAAAGAGTTACAAAACTGATCCTTTATCAAAAATATACAAATTGTTGCCATATGGATCAGCTTGTAACAATTAAGGGCAATTGTAGCTACTAAAAATGTATACCAAAATTGTGACTTTAATATTTTTACATTATTTACACAATTTATAATAATATAATAATAACAAATACAATTAAATCTTTGTATTAAGCATGTAATAATGATAGCGTAGACGAGTTCAGATTGACGGAAAGTAAGATATTTTTAAAGCCGCCAATAATTACATTTGGGGTACATGTAGCTAATCATCTGTATGTCTTAGTTGTTGTATCTATATTTTTAAAACTAACAGTAAACGTCAGTTCCAACGAAATGTAACTAATTTTGTGCTTCAATGCTTTGTATTGCAGTTGATTTTGCTTTAAAATTACTTGAAGTACCATCCGGGGGTAATGCATCCTTTTCCATTTACATTAGTTTTGGGAGATGAGATTCGATATGGGTATGAATGTATAGACTTTTGCAACATTTGAGTCGACACCTTAACATTACTAGTATTTATTATTATAAAATAACAAAGCAGCTATAATTACACCACTCACAATTTATGAAGGAGCAAACGTTGCCGTCTCAAAAAACTTGACTTTACTGAAGCGTAGGACACAAAAAATTAATGAAAAATGACTAACTGTAAATAAGTTCACAATGCACTGTGTAAAACACCTTCCAATATTGCGAAAAAAAATATTTTCGAAATATTTTTGATTAACTTGATAAGTGAAAAAATAGCCGAAAAACATATGACTATAAATAAAACAATTAAGGCGTAGCAAATTATCCAACCTCTTCTATCTGACGTTAAGCGTAAAAAGAGTCCAGCCACGAAGATGGCTGATGCCACAAGTGTGCTATTCCAGCCGTCACCATTTTCCCAAAACTCCCAACAGAAACAGAACACCACCAAAAGTTACTAGTAGGTAACTTACTGTTATGTAGCGGTGGACTGTAACTAAGTTAAATGGGAATAATGCAGGAAAACGACACGTAGTAGTAAAAATATATAATCCGTGTTCACAATAGTTCGTAAGCAATAATGACAAGGCAAACAAAATATCATGTATCAACAAAGAATGGTGTCAAATAGTGACATAGAAAAGTAAAGGATTTAAACAATACATAATAATATCAAAAGAGTTTAGTAGCCACAGCCGGTCGCAAACACTTACTGTAAAGTGGAAGTAGTGGTACCTACACTTTACAGAAGACCCCAGTAAATTACTTTTAGTACTCCCCCAATTTTAGTGCAATTCCAATATAAATTTGTAATAATGCTAAAAATGAAAGGAAAACCCTATACAGTTTTCTTTTGATGTTATCAATTTATTGGCTCGACTTTCCTCACACTTAGCTAGATTTTTTCAAGCAGCAATTGTCAAAGGACAATGGCGAACTCCCATACAAATTTATGTTGAAATTTTTTTTTGCGTCTATAAATGAATTGCATCTTAAATTATAGAGTTAAGATTCTCGATTTGATTCGTCTTATTTCTATTATTATAGGAAGTCTGGATTTATAGATATTCTACTTTGAAGTTTTGGAGGTTATGTCATACCAAGTAATACAAAAACGAATTATTAAAGTATTTACAAGAGTATTTTTATATCAAAATAAAAAATACGTGAAAGGAACTATAAAAGTATACGGTTCCCGTAGATTAGTGACCAAAAAAAATGGTTTTTTATAATGTATGATCAGTGGGCGTAGATACTTACTGACCAACCGCGTCAAAATACCTAATAATACTTAATAAAACACTTAATAAAACAAACAGGGTTATTTAGTTCGAATACAATGTCTATGCTGTAAGAAGTACTTAAGTACTACAATTTGAAAATGACCACAACAATAATAAAGTATAAAAAGGATTTCTAATAGTGTACTGATGGGATATTAATTAAATATGAAACACTTTTTTATATATTTTTTATTCCATATCTTTGATCACAATATCGTAGATAGTAGATACAATGAAATAAAATCCACAGTATGGGACGGAATCGTGTCCATAATCCACAGCAAGAAATCGTGCGAAATATCAGATTCGGAAGTCTTAGGCAAGCACTACTCAACTAGTCGCAGGGAAGATTTCGAGAGTCCAAATGCAGTCCAAGTCACATAAAAACACAAATAACAAAAAAAACACTGCGCCGATTTAAATCGTTGCAATACGCATGCACTTATTTTTTTTCTTCTTTCTGTGGCGTTCTCCGTTTTACAAAGAAACGCCGCATGCACTTATGCACAAGCAACGATAATGTTATCAATATCAACAACAATTCGATGACAAGCATGACAGTGACAGTTATAATTTTTTGCGTTAGAATTGTCGCCATACCCTTTTTGTATTGTGGAGATTATTTATTATGGTTTCAGTATAATATTGAAAAATATTGTTTCCCGATATTTTTGATAGATAATTAAATACAGTTTAAGCGTAAAGGGATGCAAAAAATACGAACAACATATTTAAAGTTGATTTCATCACTAAAATCAGTTAAAATAAATGGCTCAAAAGCCATGATGCCAAGCCACAATAAAAATAAAAAATAAATAGTCAATTGTGTTTCCCTTTTTTAACGTTTTTAATTCCAGACTTAGACAACCCTCCTGAATTGTTTAATAATTCTTTTGAGATTATTTTATTAACATTTCTGATAATGACATCTATAGACGCTAAAGATTTACTTCAACAAATATTTCACCATTGTCCTTTCCAATTGAACCCGAATTACTGATAAAAACGTTATAATAAATATGGTTAAAATTTAAAAATACTCAAGAATTACACAAAATTATGATGTTCATCACACAAAAATTCACTACTAGAGGGTTGTGATTTTGCACTGATGGTTCTCGCACTCTAGCCCTGATGTTGTTATTTCCTGCACATAATGAAACATACTAACATTTGTACGTAAATCATATCGATGAAACTGAATAAACACGTGCGTATGCTTAGCAGGTAATCGTTTTATAGCAATAGCAAAAAGAGACTACTTAAAGACGCTTCCCAAAATAAATAAAAAAAGAACCACACAGGCCCTGGGCATACCAAATAGAACCCTTTACGGTAGGCCTAAGGCAGTGTTTTTTGTGAGTCGTTAAGTAGTCGGGCGTTGTACGCTGCGTAGCTGACGGTGCCGTTCACCCTGCAGCGTGTTGCGTGCCCTTTACGGAGGAAGCGAGGAGTTCTCGCGCCGTCAAGTGACACATTTCTAGTTGGGGTAAAGCGGCGGGCGCTTTCGGCCAGTGCACACGTTCCGTTAGTTTCTCTATTTTAAACTTTACTTGGTCGGCGATATCCGGGAAGGGGGCGACCGCATCGGCTTGCCGACTACGCGCCTCTACTACACCACTGTCACTTAGTTTCGATGCAGTCGACTTGCGTACGCGTCGTCGGTCGCTTCGCGCGCACGCGCGTCAGCTCGCATGCATCCGACTATTTTTGATAGTTGATAAGATTAGGAATGCGCGCAAAATATTATTGTTGATGAACATAACGATCTTGTAGTGCCTTTCATTCATGTGAACGATGAATGTCCCCAAAAGGTGATATTTGTGGTGCCAGTTAGTTTTTTTTGTTACGATGAGCGGGAGGGAAGGCGGAAATGCAGTTCCCTCTTCGAGTAAGTATAAACTCACTTAAGATTTTGATTTCTTACAACTATTTCGTTGAAAGATACTGTAACTGATTGATATATATTGGTGTATATTTATTTGCCAGTAAATTGTTAAAAATGTGTAAGCTCTTATCGGACGGAAGCAATATATAGGAAGCGACTCATAAGTACTTTTTTACATCAATGAAATGATTAGAATTGAGGTTAATAGTGTCTCGTTCCATTGGTGTCGCACATGTGTATCGTGTTTACTAGTAGTGTTGATCAACAACAACATACATTAATTCTGAATCTCACAAAGGAAGTATTTAAGTCAATCGTGTCTTGTATTACATAAAAATCTCGTAGTAGCATTTTATTAAAAACAAACACACTTGAACTCTATGTTTATCAAATACATATATGAGAATTCATGTGCCTATATAATTTCGTTTTTAATTACTCAAAATTTAGTTTTAAGGTATAAAAATAAGTGAATACGTAATGTAATATGACTATAATTTATACAAACAAGTTATACGCATCGGAGCAGCGATAGTTTGAGGGCCAAAGCGTGCAACATTCAAAAATACTGCGCCATCAACTGCTTTAAACTACTTTGTTATAAGGTTCACAATACGCAGCAGACGTTTGTCGGTATTGGTGAAAAAAACACTTGTGTGTGCTTAGGTAGACCAACTGCATTTTGGAAGGTCCTTAATCTTAGTTCGTTCCCCGCTATTCCCGCAGTACTTGTTTTTGTCATCGACATACCAATGCCGTCTAGTGACGATCGTATAGTCGATATTTTCATTCATTTTAAGTCGTTAAATAATGAAAAAAAATGAGTAACCCTTACTGGCACTTATACTGTGGTTGAAAATAAATATGTAACTATAAAAATACAAGAATGGCTTCACTATGTAATTAACGATAGTAAGCGATATAGGCATTTGCCAGAGCACGCGATTCCAAGAGGAACTATTTGGAATGTTTAGAAAGTCGATGTTAAGTAACATTACGTCCCTACGACAGGGTCCGCTCGTAACCAGTCAATTAAATCTGAATGGTGGTAAATGCTGCTGTCTCTTTCTCTCCTAGCTTCGAGTCCCAAGTAAAAGCGCCACTTGTCGATGATTCACGTTCAAATTCCATACCGACGATTGATAACAACCGAACTAGTGAATGGCAGAACGTTTTAGGTCATTTTATTTACTTGCTGGTCATGCGCCTTACGACCAATACTGATATGTATGTGTGTTTTGTTTACTAAAATATAAATACTGACGTCACTCAGTGATGACTGCAAAGTTGACAATAAGTAGATGAATGAGTAGTAAAGTTAGATTTTTTTTATATTTGTCTTCTCTTTTCCATTACCAAATTAGAGTTACTTAGTAAACCCACAATATTGGTGAATGATTTTGATTAGATAACTCAAACTCGAAGGTTTCCTTCACATTTTGTACAGCACGTTGCATGTCAATGACCTCCCGGAACGGGAATACTAGGCCTAATGTAATCCTACATTTTTGTCGTCGTCACACTACGAATGCGGAGTTGATATTCTCTGAATGCATACCGACAAATCAATGCTAGGAACTTTACGATTTCCAGGAAAATAGCTATGTTAACAACACTTTTTTTGTGCAAAATTGTGTTTTATGGCAACTCTCGTAAACGGCTTGTTTTTGTTATATCTGCAAGGATTTTGTAAAAGTCCGATTTTCGTATTGTAATCATACATTACATACTTATTTTATTTGCTTGTAGGGTTTTTGTGTGATTTCAATGGTGTGATAACATGCAACTCATATTAATAAACGTGTGTTACCTATATAAAAAATAAACAGAATGATACGATGCCATATTATGATAATATGAAAATATTACACGTATTCCTTGGTTTTTTCTTTTAAATTGTCATAATCATTTGTCATTTGTAATGTGTTGTGAATGGGTTTCCAACATGATGAACACGTGTTACGAGTAATATGTGTGTGTGATAGTAATGGGCAAGATGTTCCACTAGAAAAAGTTCACACGAAGACTGTCAGTACTTAAGGAATTCCTTTAAATATATTTTTCACAAACTGGTATATTTTATTTCACGTGGTGTCGTAATAATTAATTGTATTCCGAAAAAACTTTTTCAACAAAAATAAAAACCGACCGTAAAAAACCACTGAAAATGAAGGAATAATATTTTCTTTACTTAAGCGTAAAGTACCTTTAAAGTCAAATTAATATTTGGTGTCGGTGCCATGACAACCCAAGTATTAAATGGAAACCCAGATCTATTAGACATGCATGGCATCGACTCCAAATATTAATATGATTTTAAAGGTACTTTAGACTTAAGTAAAGAAAATATTATTCCTTAATTTTCAGTGGTTTTGTTATTATTAAGTATTTAGTATATTTTTGTTAAAAAAGTTATTTTCAGAATGTAATTAATTATTATGTCGTGGTGTTGTGATTCTGATGGAGAACTCAACGGAATACTAAACGGGGTGGGAAATAAAGTTTGGGCAGGCAATGCACTGTATTGTTCTGTATCCCTACGTGTGTATTACAATTTTTATACTAAAAAATAATAATTAGTTCCCCATACACAGAATAATAATTTTCAGTGTATTTTGCTACATTAACTTAATACTGTATTTTAAATGATAAAACGTCACACGTTAGTATAGAACCTTTCGTCTACTAGTCTGACTTGCACTTAGCCGATTTGTTAATCTTATTTCATACTAATGTCTTTTCTTTTTTAATAATTTTACTGGGAGAAACATATTTTAAATTGATTTCAAAATTATAAGTTCTAATTTGAATCAATTTGTCTAGATGAGAGAGAATCTACAAGCAATGCATATCTTTTGAAGTGCTTAAAGCTGTTTAAATGCCCTACTAAAATATGCGTAGTATTTCCCCTTCCTGCTTTGAAAATAACACAGGCTTAATATAACTCAAGTTTTAAATAGTATAATGTTGTTGGATCTAACAATAAACACGAAGTGTCACGATTGCCGTCTGCCGTTCGGTAATATGGACGAAACGTCCTGTTAATATTTTTCGGGATCTAAATAAATAGCTTTTTTAGTATACTTTTGAGTCATATTCGTCCTTGTATAATGTACCTACTAAACTATACTCATCAGAAAAGTCTAAGCAACATTAATTACGGTTTTGAACTTCTTTAAGATTTTTACTTTTTATCGAAAAGTTTTTATTTTTAAAATCAGCCAATTATGTTTTCAAGAACGAGAAAGATTGTATACCGATAAATTTTCTAAGAAAAATAATTAAATATCGACAATTAATAAAGCAGATAGTTTCTGTAAATGATACGTGTTGCTTAGACTTTTTTGATGTGTGTCATAACTCCCAACTGAATGCTCATAACTTAAGATATTGGAAATTCCGAAATCGTTACCCAGACAAAGTAATAGTCTTCAGATAGAAAAAGCAAGCAAAATATGCTTTGTTCCAATTAATATGAAATGCTATCTAATAAGATAACTCGGAACTGGCAAATAAAGCTAAATTACAACTTACACGTCGGTTTTTCTTTACAATCAATGGACGTGAACGTGAAATGGGACCGTTACCGGTTACGTTGTACAATCAAATATTTGAGGGCACACTTTAAGCGGAATGTAATGAAAAGTTACGCATGCATAAGAATGTTTGGTTGCATTGAAATTCCTGCGTAGTAGTGCACGGGCGGGCGGGGCCGCTTGCCGCGTACTGTGTAAATAAAACTACAAAACAGATACACGTTCCCAAGTTATGCTCCACGTACTATCATATCGTATTAATGCGCCATTACAATCTTCTGCGAGAAGAGCTCGACGGCACAAGTTTTTAGTGTGTTTGGTCTGCGATCATAGAAGTAAGGCAACTTTCACCGTGACCGGTAATAGGATGGGTGACCAAAATTTACTATGACGAGCCTGGAAGGCATGTTAATCCGTTGGCCCTGACTGCATTGATAGAAGTTAGCACCTACCAATCCACTGGTGGGTAATGGTCCAAATCTATTAATAATCATGGATGGGTGACCGAAACTAATTATCTTGAGCTCATCCGTGCTTTAGAAGGCGCATTAAGCCGCTGGTCCCGGCTGCATCAAATTAATAGGCTGGTGATGATGATGATGATCAATGGATATAAGGCAGTTAATTAGCAGAATAAAAACAAGGAATCACTTGTTAGCATTGCACTGGAATATGAATGTCGGTAGCGACTATAAACTTGAGCTTTTCGTGAAAAAATGAGTAATTGTTGGTAAGGGGCCGTCCATTAATCACGTGTTGTTTGTTGGCGTTTTTTAACCCCCTCTTGGTGGTTGGTTAAAGAGTACCCCCATCCCCATCCCATATCATCGTGTTTTTTTAATATATTATTATTTTGTTTAAAATATTTATAAAACACAGTTATAAAGTATCAAGGTAGCATGTTGTTTTTGACTGACATAAAAATAATGAACGAAATGCGAAAAACTCATACATGAACATTATTTAATGTACAGTATCCTAAGACTACGGAAATACACGTGATATATTACTACACCCCCCCCATCCCCTTGTGATATTTCGTGATTTTTTATGGACCTCTCCCCCCCCCCCCGCCCTTTCGAGCCTCACGTGATTAATGGACAGCCCCTAAGAACCGCTTGAAAGTTCGATCATTTTGATTCGTTTTCGAGATTATCTCGAACATACCGAGAGAAAGACGTGATTTTATTTTCTAAAGTATGCAGGATGTTTCTTTTAAGGTGTCAAGCCTGTGTTAGATGATAGCTGAGTACCATACCTATCGATTTGACCCCTATGTATGTTCCGCGATTTTTTGTAGTTTTCGAGTTATAGACGACCTCCGTAGCCGAGTGGTTTGTACGCCGGGTTTCATGGCGTCGCCGACTCGAGAGGTCCCGGGTTCGAATCCCGGTGGGGGCAGATGTTTGTGTGATGAACACGAGCATTTGTACTCCAGTCATGGATGTTTAATATGTATTTCTATAT